CCGAGTCCTGAGAATGCAACTACCTTAAAACCCACTAAAGAGTGCTTTGTCACCATTTGAAATTCTACGACATGACATGAACGAACATGATTAGTTTCGGTATGCTGCAGACTGCAGTGTGCAATATATGATTACTATTTACTAACGGATTGGATTGGCTAAGGGAAAACCTATTTGAATTTGGATCTATATCTTTTTTATTTAATAATAATAATAATAATAATGAAAATGTAGGTAGATAGGTAAAAAGGTTGAGATTAATTTGGAATTGAAATGCACCTGCCCCTTGTTCCAACCTCATAAATGCATATCGAAAACGCCAGATTTGCTTCTGTGAGCCTTAAGGTTTCATTGCTAGCTAGCTAGGTTTTGAGGAGAGGAGTAAATATTCCAACCTCTCTTTTGTTGATGGGTCGTTGGCAATATTCAATGCTTCTTACATTGCCTGCTTCCCCTACTCTACATACCATCCCGACAACTTTTATGGTTGCCTCAGTCCTATATAAATAACTCAATCTACGTGTGTAAGAAAAGGAATCAAATAAAATTTTTACGTCGAGAAAACAGTACATACAATTCAACCCTTATTGGTTGCAATACCTTGATGAATAAGTAGTTTTAGGATGATTTTGTTGTATATGGTTAGGAGTTCAATTGCACTATTTGTTCAACTTAGATGGCTTGTTTGACATGTTTACTTTATATACATAATTTTGTTTTGAGATAACTAGAAATATAATTCAATTTTAAATAGACAACATATGAAAGGATAATAAATGACGGTGTTTTAATATTCCAATGAGACATTGTCATAATGTTGGGGCAAGGGTCTCGATCAATTTTGTGAATTCAACTATCATCGTCTACTATATATTATATATGATTAAACACATATGTTTATTCGATCTTTTCAACATTTAATTATGAAAGAATCTTACTATATGATAGCTAACCACTTCAAATTAAATATTTAAAATAATTATAGATCACAAGAGTTATCACAAGTATCGTCTGCATAAGAAACCTGAATTATTTCATTAATAAAAACTTGGTTGTGTGTGTGTGCTATATATATATATATATATAGATAGATAGAGAGAGAGAGAGGGGATAAAAGACAAAATCTTTAATGTGTCTTGCTTCTATGTCTCATCTCAAAAATGAAAATGATAAAGCATTTTAAATTTTAATGATATCAATGGAATTGAAAGAAAAAAAAAAAAAAGTTGGCATGTAATAAAAATATTTCAATTTTTTTAGTACTAAAAGAGAGAGAGGGAGTCAAATTAAAGAGCTTGAAACCTAATTTTCCCCTAACACACACATATATGACGGATCTTCTCATGCTCAGGAAAGGAATGAGAACTACTTATCGTAGTCGTCCATTGTCTAGATTTAATGGGCCAGAAACAATTTTCTTTTTTTTTTTTTAAACGTGGTGACAATTTTGTAAATAATTTGAACTTTGAAACACAAGTAAATTGTGTTAAAAATACATGTAACAGTTTCATAGAGTGCACCTACGTGCAAGTAAAATGTCAAGTGCAACAATATAATATACACTGAGCTACAACATTAAGTGCACAAAACATAATCATTAGATGCACCAATGTGAAAAGGTATATTACTTGCATTAAGTGAAAAAATGATTGCACTTTTAAGTGATTTTACTTGCACTTTTGACACATATTACTTGCACCAAAGTTCAAGTTATTTACTCGTAAAAACTGCCACCGCGTTTTTTAAATTACATCTGATCCGTTAGATCTGCACAGATAGACGACTATGATTGGTTCTCATTCCTCTCCTGGGCGCCCATATCCGTTCTAACCTGAACGCGGGCGCATACACACATATATATAGAATCATAATCAGGTGAGAACCAACCTTAACTTGCGAACTTCTGAAGGATTGTACCGCAATTATTTCATGATTGCACCGTTATGACTCCCATACATGCCTAGAAGACTCTTTGCAGTACAATCCTTCAAAAGTTCGTAGGTTCGCATGTTAAGGTCAGTTTGCACCAGACTATATATATATATATATATATATATAGAAAATTCATTTCACAACTAAGATATGCCAGCTAGTTCTCCCCCCACTGTTTTTATTCTGCCTCTTCAATATTTCTTCTAACATTCCTCTTCACTGTCCAGCTATATATAGCTAGCTAGACTCATGCACCCCTCCTATATATATTAACTCCCCACCTTATATATTATTCCTCCATTTCTTCATCATTTGTTCAACGCAGTTTCTCCCTCAGCTTGCCGGCCGCCGCAACATCATATCGCCGTCGTCGGTCACGACCGGTCGGTACGTACGTACTTATACGAGATGTTGGTGCGGTTCAATTAGAAAGCCGAGCTCGTAACTACTCGAACTCTGTTATTTGATTGAGCCGTGCCAATATCACGTACATAACTTACCTAATTTCCATTCTTTTTATTCACTTTCTTAACTTCTACATTCTTCATCTCGTATTAGATATATGCACTACTGGAAATTATGGAATTTCCGATCACCTGAAAGTGATATTAAATCAAGTTGAAAGTAAAAAGTGGTCGGAAATAGCAACAACGATTTTTCCAGATACCAAAAGTGGTTGGAACAAGATTTTCGACTTGATTTAAGATCAGGTCGGAAATTCCATAATTTTTAATAGTGATGCCCTGTATAATATGTTTTTTTTTTTTAATAACTTAATCAGAGATTCCGGTTTGAAAAAATACAGAGTATTTTATCATTTTTGAAGTTGTATCTGACCAGAACAAGATTAGTTTATGTGATTATTGTTGTTTTAGTTTAATGTATGATATTGTGGAAAGTTGAAGGGACCATTATTATAGGATAGGATAAGGTTTTGGGATTTAACAAAAGATCAATTAACGTTGTTGTACTCTTATGTTTAGGTGGAAAATTATATCTTTTGGTTTTATATTTGAATGAATAATGCTTAGTTTATTCATACTAGAATGGATTTATGTGCTTTTTGACACAAAGTGACATGGTTAGGTATAGTGAAAGGTTGTGACTTGACCATTGTTATTAATAGGCATAAGCATTAATTATTATATATTTAGCAATTATTGTTAACCAAATTCAAGAATTATTTGGAGTTAACTAAATATATAAATCTTTAGTTTGTTTGTTTTGTGAAGTTTAAACTATAGTTAATATATGCATCAATGGATTCTAAAAAAAGGAGTTGTAGGGTGTTCCACGGTCGAAAATGGTAGCTGGTTATTCTAGCTAATTGTTGATTTCGAGTAGCCACTCTATTTGACCATTTGATAATATATATATATATATATATATATATATATATATATATATATATAGGAGATAAATAAGAACAAACATTCTTGTAAAAAGTGGGTACATTGGGCAAAATTACCAAGTGAATTCAATGATATGCATAAGTATACTAAAAAATACGTGTGCACCCTATGACAGGTAAAAGTGTAATTGATGAACAAATATACTTTGTAGTTTTGTGCAGGGCATTTTTAGTATTCACATGTTTTTTTTAGTTTTACTTTTACATATTATTATATGTATTTTTTTTTTTTTTTTTTTTACAGAAAGCCAGGTTCTCACTTTAACCGATATATATATATATATATATATATATATATATATATATATATATATATATATATATATATATATATAATCAAATTAGAATAATCAAATGAGATCAGATCACCTCTTTCCGTGAAACCTTTCGTAAATGCATACAAACTACTACGCGAATGTACACAATCTACCATATGTGCGTTTACGAAGAATCTCATGGGAACAAGTGACATTAGCCTAAAAGCATCGCATTCAAAACAATTTCTTTTTCAATAATCTCATAGTCTGCTAGGTGGCGGCAAAAGTCAAAATCTTTAAATATAGTCGTTGGTATAATCTCATTAATGTCATATGTACCAGAAGATCGACATAAATATTTGCTCATTGCTAGGTAGATTAATGTGCCATTGTTTTTTAGTTCGCCCATTTCGTTGGTTTTTAAGATTTAAATTGAAATGTAGTATTGAGATGAACATTTGATAATGATGGGATTTAAAATTAGACCTAGCAATTTATGTAAATGGGTTGACATGATAACGACGCAATTCAAATACGATAATGTTAAATATGAACACAACTAGTTAAGGTTAACAAATTAGTATCCTTATTAGATATAAAAAAACTGCGATATATACTATATTGTAATCTTAAATAACAATATCATTATTAAATAGAAGATAATAAAAATAATACTATGTTATTATCAATATTAATATTAATGTTTCCAAACTGTGGTTAACCACATATACATGTTTTTTCCTCAATCAAGGTATATTAAAACTCCACACTGACACATTGAAAGTAAGTCTGATTATACCAAGTAGGACATCAAATGATAACAAAGCACTCCCTACTCAAACCCAAGACCTCTTATTAAAATAGAAGAAACCTATACCCGTAATCTCATTCACACCCTCATGGGTTAAGCATATACTTGTAGATCCACATGAGTCTGCATCCGTGAGACGATCTCACAAAGAATCACCCAAAAAAAAGGTGTTAAAGAACATGCTTCTTATACGATGTTAGAATATGAATTGTGCCCTCAGGGCTCAGGGTATTGGTTTAGTAAACGAGAAATTTCACTTAAGACTTCTAACAATAAGGTGAGGTACAATTCCTGTCACAAACATTGTGGCTTCATATTTATGTTAGACTCTTGTGTGCAAAAGTGCATAATTTGATATTAAGTCTTAAAACTAGATTGACTCAATTTACCTCCTCATGAGCCTGAAAGACAGGCTTATAAGATCGTCCTGTGTATAGTCCGATGAAATCTGGAAACCTGGGTTAGCTTATCATTTGCCATTGTGTATATTGTTACAAGATGCTACCCTACAAGCATCCTAGAAACATAGGATAAACATGGTGGTCTGATCTGATAATATCTGGAATCTGGATGTTGTTGCAGCAGCAAATTAAAACAAAACATCTGTCACATTCCTCACTTCAATTTCCCAGTTGATTCTTTTGAATGAGCTCTAAAAGAAGCAGAAAAACTAATGAAATGTTTCATTATTGGACACTGAACTATCTTACATGCTGCAGAAAAAAAAAAAAAAACAGATGGGCAAAATTGTGCAAGACTCTTTGGCTGTACCCTATTATTCTGGAGTGGTCCTGTACATGGTGGCAGAACGAACGAGGTTTCTACGCCATTTTCTATGGCCCGGGACATCCTTGAACCCGTCGCTTTCATTTCCGAGCTGCATGGTAAAGTTCCAAGTAATCAAGAGCCGGGCGATTCCAAGACCAATCCTGCTCCATAACCTTCTTGCATAGTGAATTGAACCAATCCCGAGTATCATACCAAGCAGTGATTGCTCTGCAACATACAACCGTCGATGAGTTCTTGAACAAGAAACCAATCTATGGGTTGTAATAGACTGGTAGTGTGTGCAAGATTCTGTGTCACTATATAGAGGGAGAGACTCGAGGCAAGGAGGGAAAGTCTACAATGCCGATCGGGTACAACTATGCATACTTTTGGAGTTGTATCGGATATTGTCAACTCGTTTAGGTGACGAGGGAAACCCGCAACCATTACCCGAGGGTGTGCACTGGGTACACCCGCATCGTGAGTTGTGACCCTAACTAGCAAATTATCACAAGGAGATAAACCAGTCTAAGTTGTCCATAACTGACCGACTCAAACCAAGAAAACCAATAGACTGCTCCCGTTGGAAGTCGAACCAAGTCAGCAGTTCGACCAACTTGGCTAGGGTTGCCCCCGATATTGTCAACTCTTGTTCCCGCGTTATATGGTACAATCTCAAAAGCATATATAATTGTACCCGGTGCAAAATGGTTAACTCTATGGTTTCTTCTAACTTCCTAGATGGCAAAACCTCGACAGACATAAGCCGTATACTTACCTATTGAGTGCATAATCAACTCCGGCAGCATCCGCTCCGTCAAAGCTGAATCCATTCGGTTCAATACCGCTAGCTCGAGCTCTCTCTTTGTCGTGGTCAACATCAAATACAGTATCATAAAGTCCTGGAGGTCAGAACACACAAAGGTTATAGTAGCTTAACTTGAAAGTCGAATTAATCGAGGGAATAACCAAACGAAAAGCTAAAAAACGATGCAGCCTCTTAAAAGTTTCTCAACGTTTAAGGGGTGGAGAACATACTTTTATAAGCATAATTGAAACGAAAAATCATTCATCTACATACTGACCTCCGGTTTTACGAACAACAGGTATTGAACCATATCTCATTGCTACGAGCTGAGTTAGTCCGCATGGCTCAAATATTGACGGGACTAGAATGAAATCTGCACCGGCATATATCTGCAATCGCGTGCATAATAATGGATTAGTAAGTAGAAATGCGGGTAACATATTTATGTAAAGAACGAAGGTAGGTCATAGTTCCCGAGGGAGAATACCAGGTGCGAAAGAGGCTCATCGTATGTTAGACAGAGACGTGCCCGGCCGTGAAATGCTGAATGCATATGGTTTGCCAAATCAACAAACTCATTTTGAATGCGAGGGTCGGGGGCCGAACCTAGCAAGACAACCTGTCATAGTAATCTTCATCAGCACAGGACATCGAAGACCTAATGCTTGTTGAATTGAAATTCATTGAAGTCCTAAATTACATTGTTTGGTTGGGGGGAATTGCAATTCCCTCCTTTTGTTGAATTGCAATTCAATGGATGTGAGAAAGGAAAACTAGATGAAATGACACTACTACCCTTGGTTATTATTACTATTATTATTACACAAGGGTATTTTAGTCTTTATACCACTTCTTTCCTTCTCAATTCCAATAATTCTATTTCTCTCTACCAAACAACGTAATTTGAATTCCTACTTTATTCCCACCGAATTACAATTCCTTTCCCTCATAATTCTTTCCTTCCAACCAAACGCCCTGTTTAAATTCTCATTCTTCATTATCGAACAATTCAGTTTTGAACGATGCTAAACATAAGAGAAGATGTTTGGCAATTGCCCATCGGGATAAGGAGAAGCGTGAGGAGAAACTAAGATAAAACGGGACTACCTGTCCACCACGTTCTAACGTGCGAGATAGGGCGTGTTTAATGAGGTGGATTCCTTTCTGGTGTGTTAGACGAGTAATAATTCCTACCAAAGGACGATCATCCGTTTTCAGCCCAAGTCTCTGCTGTAAAGCTTCCTTTGCGGCCCGTTTGCCTTCAACCACATTCTCTGAGGTATATGAAATCTGCATTGGCAAGTTAGGCGTAAGTGTCAAGAGTATCGAATGAAAAAGACGATGAATCAATTCAATCCTACGATAAAAAAGCTTTAAGAAGAAAACGAAGTTGAAGCCGTGGAGAAAACAAAACTAGCATCAATTTCATTCAACGAAGCTGAACGGAAGCAAAAATCAAGCAAACCGTGGATTAGTTACCGGGATGAACTTATCATTGTACGGATCCCAGATGTCGGGGTCAATCCCATTAACTATACCATGAAACTTGTAAAGATGAGGGGCAATGGCGGGGTTTCCAGATACTTCCTTCGAATAATTGGGCGATACCTGCAAATTTGAACACGAGAATCTCTAAGACTTCTCACAAAATCAAAGCCGTAATAAATTGCTCGAGATGAAGCACTTACAGTTGTAGCTTTGTCCGAATATTGCATTGCTTTCGCGATGAATTGTGCACCGAATTCAAGGTTATGAATTGTGAAAACAACACGAGCTTTGCTAAGACCATAATGCATGTATTGTTCCTTAAACAACCACGCAACTGGAGCGCTAGACCAATCATGGCAATGAATAATATCCTTCCAAAAAGAAGCCAACAATGAATACTCTTTTTTTCGAACTAGCTATGAGAAAGAAATCTGAAAACAGGGATAAAACAAGCTGAAATTGCTATTTATATTTCGACCAATTTCTTTCCAACAATGCAAGTGAAAAATATATGTTCTCTCGTAAGCATTTACAACTCGCAATGCTAAAAGAAGCCACAGAGATAATTTCAACATGAAAATGGACGAAATCAACAGTAGTTTTGAATGATTGACGGAATCTAAGATCAATTGTCTTGTTTTATACGTGCCCCTATGTCAATAAATAGTAACATCATCCTCCCGATGTCAATTTCCTTCCACTAGGTTAAATATATATCACGGAAAATAAATATGAAAAAAAAATAATTTAAACAGTATTCTTGCATAAGGTTGAGAATTTATCAAGAACGGACAAGATCGTATCTAATGTAAATATAAACGTACTGGATGGAATCCACCCTGCTGTAGAAACTCCAGAGCAGCATGACAAAAGAAGCCAAATCTCTCGGTGTCATTGTTTGAGCCATATATGCATCCTTTCCAAAAGAACCTGCCAGGATAATGATAGAGAATCAACCTCAGCGACTAATCTTTTCGGCACATTCACTAAAGATAAAATAATAATCAAACAAAAGAGGAAAAATTTTAGACACAAAAATAAAAACGAAAAGAAAACTCAAGTAAGAAAAAGACCTAATTTAAAGAGCTAGATGCATAGTTTTCAGCTTATATAAGCATACCCATTTTGCGGCTCCAAAAAGTACACCGAGAGGCCTTCAACTTTCCCAAACCAAACTTTTACTTCAGTTCCACCCCAAGAGTAGCTTTTGTGAAACTCTAAGTCCTTAACCTATCCCAATACACATATATATGGTAGAATATGAATGAGAATCATGAATACAGTTATTGTAAACATAATAAAAGATGATACGGGAATAAAGTATTCTAGTATTTACTGAAGGAAAACTCATTTCCTAAAACAAAAAAGACAAGTCCTCACAAAGCTTAAGGTACATAAACGTTACATAAAACAAAATATCAAAATGAGGAAGTAATGTCGGCAAAAAACATTGGTGACAGATTGACAGGGGAGTAAAGGATGACGGACCAAGTTGCTAATTAGTACATTATACATTAACCAGATCACAAAAATAAGTCCCAAAATAGCAACACTTGCAATTCTCCAGGAGATCACATCTTGAGAGGAAAGATACATTGCAAATAACGTGTCAATAGATTTTTATATTACCATTCAAATCTGTGCAAATAACCACGAGGAAACTTGCTTAAAGAAATAGATTGAAGCTTACATGATTAAAGTTCACACAATCGTACTTGGGAAGGATGATGTCCACAATGTGGTTTAAATCCTGAATAGCACGGGAAAGACTAGTGACAACATCACCAAGGCCTCCCACCTGCAAACAACGAAAGAGATAATGAACGTGTTTTTAGTAGTGACTGACATAACGAATACTTAAATTAAGTTACAACGACAAAAGCCACAAGTTGTTTAATTTGGTCAGACCACGAGGTGTCTTGAGCAGGCCCTAACTGTAGGAGGCACCTTTAAGACCGTACCATACTCAGACTAATCCCCGTTCGCACCGGGCCGGCCCAATTAAGGGGCAAAGTGCTGGCCAGATTGATTTTTCCATACGAGACGGGGTTCGGACTCCCGACCTCTCTTAAGGGACAAGAGTGCATGGCCACTCACGCCAACCAAGCTGGTTACAAAAGCCACAAGTTGTGTACAGCTTATGGTTGATTCAATATTTCAGCTTAGCATTTCATGGGATGCTCTCTGCTCTAACATTATTTGATTTTCAGTCCAAGTATAAAAATCACAGCATGTATTGCAAGCAAAAAATTATGACAAAAATTTTGACTAACATAAACATTTGGAAAGAGCGAAGAGAATAATGAGCAACGATGCATAAAAAAAAGTATAGTACTCCATATATAATTATTGCTGTCTTGAAAATATGAAAAACACTTATGAATTGTTCTAAGACAGATAAAAGATCCCAGTGAAAAAAAATTGGATAGTTGAACGTAAAGGAGTTACCAAAGGATACCTTTGCAATGGGAGCCATTTCAACCGCAATATGCACAATGTGCATTGGAGGTTCTTTTGCAATTGCACCAGACACGGGTATGTGATAGTCCATGTTATTCTTGTTGTCAAAAATTCCTCCATTTTCGTTCCCGGAGAATACAAAGTCCATCACATATGCATCCAATGGAACCTTGACTGTGACATCCAATGGAAGAGAGGGGAAGGGCGGAAAAGGTGACCAAAACAAGTTCAATTTTATTAACTCTTCATTGTAATTCTCAAGAAGTCATGACTAGATATATATATATATATATGACTTGATTAACGGGGGAAAGCATCCTGAAAGATATATTCCGCTAATGCTGCAAATTAGTTCTCAGAAAATTTAGATTTCTTTTCCTTTGATATGATGAACAACTCAGAATATCTCCACGACTCCATGTTTCATGATTATGAGTAAGGCTTACACGAGTGTAGTTAAGTATCTTTTGTTTCATAAAGATCGAGCACAAATTCTGAAAAATCTACACATACAAAAATGGTCTTAATTGTTAAAATATGTAAGCCTTACCAGTTGCCTTAACATGTGAACTGTTTTCGGCAGGCAACATTTTTTGAGGTGGCAGTGGGCCCAAGCGGTGAGTCCAACGATTAAATGAGCATCTGAACCAGATTTCAGGTTTCCCATTTAGGACTGTATTAGCAGGATTATAATAAACTGTGACTGTACTTCCAGCTCGGACATCAAGAGGCTCAGTATATACTACGTGTTTCTGAGACAAAAAAAATGATTTCATAGTCCTTTCCTTTGTCTCAGCCTTAATACGTGCTGTTCTTTCAGCCTGCATATGGAAAACCACAAAACATTGAAAACAAGCACGGCCATAACAACTAGCAATTCCGGTGGATTGTTAGTGGGGACAATTGGCTCCTCTAACTTTCTAATATTATGCATTATATATGCAGAAATTTTACCAATTAAACACTTAAACTGACCAAATGGCACTTAAAAATAGTTAAACCAATCCACAGTACAAACCTTATCAAGAAATGCTGAAATATGTCCCTCATTAAACCAAAGAAGAGGGAACAACAACTAGCTTGGTTGGCGTGAGTGGCCGTGCACTCTCATCACTTAAGAGAGGTCGGGAGTTCGAACCCCCTCTCGTATGGAAAAACCAATCTGGCCAGCACATTGCCCCTTAATTGGGCGGCCCGGTGCGAATGGGGATTAGTCTGAGTATGGTACGGGCTTAAAGGTGCCTCCTACATTTAGGGCCTGCTAAGGACACCTCATGGTCTGACCAATAAAGAAGAGGGAACAATGTGCCTAGTTTGAACAACAGAGTCATGAATCTAGCAAGTAGCTTGGAAAGTAATTAATTGTATTCACATATATGGTACAAGTAATATTTTGAAATATGTTACTTGATAAATACTGACCTTAGCACGTATTGCCTCTTCTCTTAACCTTCTCTCTTGCTGAAGTCTCTTATATATTTGATCTTCTTTCTCAGCCCAAAACAAGTCTTCTGGAATTTTTTCTGAGCCAACGGCATGAAAGTCCTGCCGATTATTGTTATCATAAACAATTGCCTTCCCAGGTGGCCCATCAGCAAAAACCCAATCCAAGATGAGTGCTCGATCAGGAACAACAACTAAAGAGAAATAATAAAAAAAAAAAATTAATTAAAGGACTTTTGCAAAACAACTTGGAAGAAGAAATGGATGACAACTAAAAAAATAGAAGTGTTGACTCGACTAAAAGTTATAGCTTCAAAAAAATAATGCAACTTTAAAGAGAAAACTATACCATTGGCTGTGTAACATGTCCTACAAATTGGAAAGACCAGAGCAAATTTCACAAGGCAATAAGACTGTGTATTTCTCAAATGGAAGAAGCACATTCATGGTTATGATACCAATATACCATGACTTGCTAAAACTTGGATCAACTTAGAATACAAAATAAGAGCTTAAAAAGTAGGATTTATATCATGAATGACTATTTGGTGTGGTTTATAACAATGTCGATGACTCGTAATTTTTCCAAGACTCAAGCAACTAACTCCCCAACACTGGGGATCCATCACAGCATCACATCTGTATTTGTCAAGTTACTAATAGTGTTCTTACTCGAGCAAAAGTTCATAAACATAAACACAAACACGCTGAAAGTTTAAGAAGATTAATATACACACCGTCAGCATACCACCAGTCACCATCCTTGTTCTTGGATTTGGAAAGCTTTGCAATGATAGACAAACCATGCATCCAATTATTATGTCCTCCATGAATCCATATTTCATTAGCACGGGAAAGTGGACCTGAACTATTGTTATAGTACAATCTAATCTTGTCCTCACTTTTGAATTCTTTGGGCTCTATATACCAGTTGTCAGAAACAGACTTTGAAGCCTTATCGATTGCTGCTTGCAAAATTTTCCGTGTCTTTGCAACCTCTTCTCTTGCCTGTGCTCTATCGACTTCACTTGCAGCTTTCTCTGCTTCTATTCTTCTCTTTTCTTCTGCTTCTCTTTCTCTTTGAGCTTGTTCCTTAGCAATTCTTTCCAGCTCCCTCTGTTTCTCCTCAAGCAAGAAATTTTCAAAGTCCAAAGCATCCATACCATCTTTTACAGTTATAGAGAAGTCTTTCATATTATTGTTATCATAGACATCTTTTCCATTGAAAAACACAAAATCAATGTTGTATGCTTCCTTGGGAACATGAAGCCTGCAAGACCACCAATCCCCATTTAAATTAGTCTTGCTAAGGTTCATGGTAAAAGATCTCCAACGCCAGTCATTAAATCCTCCCATGATCAATACATCGGGCTCGTTCAACAAAGTGGAGAGACTTCTGTTAAGAAATATTTCTACATCTTCATCGGGTTTTACCTCCTCGGGATAATAGAATAATTTGTTCCTTTGCAAGAAGTTTTCCTCAGCAAGCCTTTCTATAGCCCGTCTGCGTAAATTTTCTTCCATCTCTAGCTTCAACTTTAAAGAATAATCTTCCTCCTCTTTACCATCATCAATATCACTGTTTTCAATTTCTCCTACATCAATAGTCTCCGTAGTTTCTAATTGCCTATCTCCTTCAACAGTCCCAACTGCAGCATCTCGAGCATCACTCACAGTACTCAACGCTTTTTGTGACGGATTTTCCTCATTGTCTTCATCAATATCACTGTTTTCAATTTCTCCTACAACAATAGTCTCCGTAGTTTCTAATTGCCTATCTCCTTCAACAGTCCCAACTGCAGCATCTCGAGCATCACTCACAGTACTCAACGCTTTTTGTGACAGATTTTCCTCATTGTCTTCATCAATATCACTGTTTTCAATTTCTCCTACAACAATAGTCTCCGTAGTTTCTAATTGCCTATCTCCTTCAACAGTCCCAACTGCAGCATCTCGAGCATCACTCACAGTACTCAACGCTTCTTGTGACCGATTTTCCTCATTGTCTTCATCTTGCACTTTATCACTTCTGATAATATCCACCTGAGCCTCCTCCGAATCTATCTCATTCAGAACATCAGTTTCCAAGACTGTTTCTGCAATAGCTGTTTCCTGGAAATTGTTGAACTCCAAACTTTCGTTCTCTTTTAAGTAGCCTGCCTTATCATCACTTAATGGCATTTCTCCTAACTCGACTCTATCTAAAACATCCAGAGCATCATCTCCGGTTACTCTTTTCACTTCACTTGACTTTATATCATTATTTACAACTTTGCTGCCTACTCCATTACTTGCAAATTGACTAATATCAGGAACAGATTGTGGAATTCTGCCCGAGTCACTGTCATCCTTACTTTGACCTTCACTTTCCTCTACTTCTTCAACTCCTTGAATTTCATCTTCAATATCATCAATTTTGACCTCAATCTTTTTCTGGGAGGGAACTTCAGATTCTTTGGATGGTGAAGTTTGTTCATCTTCTTTTTCCTTGATGTTCTTCTGATCCCTTCTCTGGCTACTTGTTCCAGTTGCTGTTCTGGATGAAAATCCCCTAGGAGAAGACCCTTCACTCTTTGGAGTAGAAACTTTTCTCTTCCTTCTTGGAAAATCTTTCAAAACAAAAAAGTTGCCAATTTACTTTTAAGTAAAATAATAATAATAATAATAATAATAATAATAATAATAATAATAATAATAATAATAATAATAATAATAATAATAATAATAATAATAATAATAATAATAATAATAATAATAATAATAATAATAATAATAATAATAATAATAATAATAATAATAATAAAAGGGATGGATTGGCAAATTTTATTACATTAGAAACTTTATCCAACAAAAGTAACCAACCTGCACTTGCACTGATATGATGTAGAAACCCTCCCACAACTTGAACTTTGTTCTGAGAAGAAGACTGCATGAAATGCAGAAGAAGAAAAAAAAAAAAAAAAAGTGAGAAAAAGTTTTAAAGATAAAAATCTTTCTTGTAAAAGGTGAGTGCCAAAATCCACTTTTAGCAGTTCAGATCACTAGAAAAGTGTTGAAAAGACTTCTACCCAATTTGTAATTCCAAGCAATTGATTCTATTATACCCAGAAAGAAACTTGCCAAGCAATTTCAATCACAGATTCAAAATTGAATCAAACAGAGCAATAATTCCTAAATTTGAGTATTGTTAAAAAGAAACACAGACAACCAGCAATTCAGCAAATGGGTTATGGGCATGATCAGTGACTACATGTATAGATACACACACAGAGCTATGGGAAATATCAATGAGGAGAAGAAGAAGGAGAAAATTACATGCGCTGATAGACTGGTGGTTCCATGAGGGAAGAACCCAAAGAAAGGCTTAATCTTGAACTGTGTTGCGGTGATACTAAGGGTTGTTCTTGAGCTCAGAGGCTTGTGAAATGGCAACGGAATCTCCATGGCTTCGCTCACCCAGAACCCCAAAAAAAAAAAACACTAAAAAGTTTTCTCCTTTTTGATCTTTATTCCGCCATTCACCACAAAATCAACTCAAACATCATGTGATCTCCCCAGCCCACCGTATTCACCCCTCTCTCTTCCTGTATATATATGTGTGTTTATTTTGGGCATTTAATTATTTAAAAAATCACATTTTTAGCTTTGAGTTATACTTAATGCATAAATTTAATTTTCAAGTTATATACCTAATCATTTTTAACTTTAATTTATGTATTACCTAACAAATTTAAGTCTTATTTGATAAAAGTGTTAGCTTATTAGTCAATTTTAATTTATTTGACTATTATTAACATTATTTTTTTGTAATAATTTATTGTTCTAAAATATTAAAATTCTCGATCAACTTTTTGACTCTTTCTACAATCAAATAACGTTATCAATTAGTCAAATATACTAACTCAATCAACTAACAATTATCAGCTAATAGTTATTTATTAAACACACTTTTAATTTTTATAGTACAAAATTTATCATATAAGAATTAAATTTGTCACTTTATTAAGTGATATATTAATGATAAGAATAATCTTAAAATAAGAAACTAAAATCACTCATTCACGTGTTAAAAAATGATTTTACATATAATTTATTAACTAAGTTTGTACTTTGTATCATGGGTTAATGATAAAAATATAATTTTTTAAATTATTATTACTGTTTTCAAGAAAAGATATATATCGGAAGAAGAAAATGAGGTGCACAGTGTCCTATAAATCTTAAAATTCCTCTGTAAACTGCCAATCACAATCACGATTCCCAAGCATTGGAGCCGTGAGGTGTGTGCTCTTGGGAGAAACAAGTTGTATGTGGAATTAACGGCTGATATTTTGTGATGGGGTGACACGTCATCAGACTCCACCATTCCCCAACTTTTATTTTATGTATTTTTATATTTTGGTTGGGAGCAAAAGATCGGGCATCGCCTGGATAATATAAGAAGACAAGAGGGGTAGGGAAAGGTGATGGGTGAGATGGGTGAGGCTTGAATTGATTTGGATTTTTACACAATAAATGAATATCATATTAGAGTGTATAATAGATATTTATATATGGAAATGCATAGTTTTAGGAAAGCAATACAACCAGATATTTAATAAAGAAGAATGCTAAGTAGCCCGCACGTCTTAGCTCAATGGTTCAATATACAATATTTAAAAAAAGATATTAATGTTCGATGAGTTTAGGAAATCTGTTATTCAATTGATAAGCGGTAAGGTTTACATAATATACTATCAGCTGATAGCTCCTATACAGAAGGCTACTGAAGAGGTCTACACAACTAACATTTGACCAATAATAATAATAATAATAATAATAATAATAATAATAATAATAATAATAATAATAATAATAATAATAATAATAATATATGCTAATACTCCCCCTTAAGCACAAGGTTGTGCAGCGACAACATTGAGCTTGGCACGGAGCTCCCCGAACCGTTGTGCTGCAAGCGGTTTTGTGAAGATATCTGCTAGCTGATCTTTAGTCGAGACAAAATTGACTTTGAAGTCACCAGAGGATACCTTGTCGTGAACGAAGTGATAGTCCACCTCAACATGCTTAGTCCTAGCGTGGAAGACTGGATTGACACAGAGATAAGTGGCTCCTAAATTATCACACCAGAGTGTAGCCGGGGAACCAGAATGTAAGCCTAGTTCTCGTAGAAGGGAAATTACCCAGGTGACCTCAGCCGAAACATCTGCGAGACCCTTGTATTCAGCTTCCGTCGAGGAACGTGCCACGGTGCGCTGTTTGCGCGAAACCCAAGAAACCAGGTTAGTCCCAAGGAATACGGCATACCCACTGGTGGACTTCCGATCAATGGGACAGCCGGCCCAATCTGAATCAGAGAACGCATGGATGTCAACGGACGGTGATGAAGATAAACGTAACCCAAGATCCAATGTGCCCTTGACATATCTCAAAACCCGTTTGAGAAGACCCCAGTGATCCTGTGTTGGTGCGTGCATGAACTGGCAAAGGCGGTTTACCGCGTAAGATAAGTCAGGCCTGGTGATAGTGAGGTACTGTAGGGCACCAGCCAGACGGCGGTATTGAGTTGGATTGTCGAAGAGCTCAGTGTCAGGAGTTACAGCTTGAGTCGTTGAGGCCGGTGTTGCGAGTGGTTTGCAATCAGTCATACCTGCTCGATTAAGCAGATCCTTCATGTAGCGCTGTTGTGATAGGAGTATACCACCATATGTAGCCACGGTTTCAATGCCAAGAAAGAATGTGGGTTCGCCTAGATCGCGAATTTTGAAAGTAGACGAAAGACGGTGCAGTAAAGTGTCGATTAGCCCCGAGTCATTGCCCATCATGATGATGTCATCCACATACACAAGGAGGAAAGCTCTGGAACTGCCAGTTGAGTAGTGGAAAAGAGAAACATCGGTTTTGGACGGAATAAACCCAGCGGAGAGCAAGTAATCGTGCAAGCGTTTAAACCACGCCCTCAGAGCCTGTTTGAGACCATATAGAGATCTCTGTAGATAGCAAACATGATCAGGATGCCCTGGATCCTCATAGCCTGGTGGCTGCCGCATATAGACCGTCTCAGCTAGATGACCATTGAGAAAAGCATTGTGGACATCGAGTAGCCGCATAGTCCACTTCCGGGAAACTGCAAAAGAAAACAGAATACGGACTGTAGTCGGCTTGACTACTGGACTAAAGGTTTCAAAGAAGTCCTCTTCGGCGACTTGATTGAAACCTTTAGCAACTAGGCGCTCTTTGTAGCGCTCAACTGAGCCATCGGCTTTCCGCTTGGTGCGAAAAACCCACTTGCACCCGATAACATTCATGTTGGGTGTTGGTGGGACCAGTCGCCATGTGTCATTATGCAGCAAAGCGTTGAACTCTTGGTCCATGGCATCACGCCACTGTGGATGACCAACTGCTTGAGTGTAACAAGTGGGGTCTGCTGCAGCATGTGCTACGGCGAGAGCCTGGAGTTGCTCGCCGGTGCCACGAGTCATGTGACGCAACCGCATTACATGGCCTCGTTGAGTTGGTCTACTCTTTGGAGGCCGCTTTCGGGATACCCGAACCGGAGCAGATGGGCGTGTTTGGACACTGGGCCCAGCTGGTGGAGCACTAAGTTGAACCCCCTGTATGACAGGACAGGAAGCCCACGGTACATCTTGGGCTGCTGGTGATTCCTGCACAGTAGAAACAGCGGCAAAGGGGAAAACAGCCTCATCAAAGCGCACATGGCGACAGATGTAGGTCTTTCCCGTGTTTAGGTCCATGCATCGGTAACCTCTAAAGGATGACGGATAGCCTAAGAAAACACACGGGGCTGAGCGATACTCTATCTTGTGCCGATTATACGGCCGTAGATAGGGAAAGCATAAGCACCCAAAGACCCGTAGGAAAGTGTATGTGGGCGGAGTTTTATAGAGGCGGTAGTGTGGAGTATCAAACTGTAAGGCTGACGAGGGGAGACGGTTGATTAAGTATGTGGCTGTTTCGAAGGCAGAATCCCAATGCCGTAACGGGACGGAGCCCTCGGATAGTAGAGCCAGGCCCGTCTCAACAATGTGACGGTGCCGGCGTTCTACCCGACCGTTTTGTTCATGCGTATAGGCACAGGATTGCCTGTGCACTATTCCCAATTTGTCAAAGATAGCATGCAAACGGCGATATTCGCCCCCTAAGTCAGACTGAATGGACTTGATAGAACGTGAAAACAAACGTTCTACCATCGTCCGAAAAAGTTCAAAAACCTTATATATATCTGTTTTGAGTTGTAGAGGATAATACCAACAATAACGGGTATGATCGTCTACAAAAAGAACGAAATAACGAAAACCCCCCGCAGAAACAACGGGTGCGGGGCCCCAAATATCTGTATATAGAAGATCTAACACATTGCTACTAGAACGAATAACTCTATCTAAAGGAAAACGCGAGGCTTTTCCAAGCTGACAGGACGAACAAATGGACGAGTCACTCGATTTATTTGTAGAAACTGGGCAATTATGCAGAACACGCTGAAGAGCTTGATTATGAGGATGGCCAAGTCGGCGATGCCACACTTGAGAGGACGCCCGGGCTGTTATGAAACCGAAATGTGACCTCGGAATGGAAAGTGTGTACAACCCCCCGGAGCTAGGTCCTTTAAGCAGAATTGTTTTGGTGATGCAATCCTTGACAACAAAAAAATTCGGATGGAATTCAAAGAAACAATTATTATCGTTAGTAAACTTGTTGACCGATAATAATGAAACTGACAAATCTGGGACATGCAAAATATTGGATACACGTAAAGATTTAGATACGGATGGAATGATAGCATGACCAACACGGGCAATACCTAGACCTGTGCCATTACCCACGCGTAGGACGTCCGAGCCGGTGTACTCCTCGGATTGACTCATCATCCCGGCATCCGGCGTCGCATGGAACGTGGCCCCGGTATCCGGATACCACGGAGCCATCTCTGTCGCGGAATCAGCAGTAACAGCCACATTGGCTTGTGGCGGCGGCGGTGGAGCATCGGAGTACCGGCGGAAGCAATGCAAAGCTGAGTGACCATTCTTCTGGCAAATCTGGCAGCGCAGCCCTCCTCGGCCACGCCCTCCGCGGTTCTGTCCTCCACGATTTCCACCCATGTTCTGCCCGCCGCGAGAGTTCCGGCCACCCCCATGTCCGGACTGTCCGCGACTCCTACCAGCGTACATAGCCGACGGTGATCCAGTCGGCAGTGTCGCCATCCCAGTAGGAAATTCATTCGAATGGATGAATTGTTGTGCCTGAAGATAATCAGCCAACTGAGGAATTGAAACCGCATTACCTGAAACGGCGAGGGTGGCGGCCATTGCCCGGAACTCCGGGCGCAATCCTCTGAAAACATACAGATTTTGCTCTTCTAGCGACATCGGCCGGCCGGCAAGAGCAAGATTCTCCACCAACAGCTGTGCTTGGCCGAGATATTCTGATGGTGATAGATCGCCTTGACGCAGAGATTGAAACTGCCCCAACAAATTGAGGCATCTTACGCGTGTGGACGACCCAAGAGCAGTTTCGACGACGAGCCATACCCCTCGTGAAGTCGTCTGTCCAACAGCTAAATACATTACTTCCTCCGATAGGGAGG